GAATGCAAGTCAACAAACGAGATGACATGGCCTTTCACCCGTGATCTGTCTCGAAACCTCTCACACAAGATGAGAACAAGAAGTGAAAAGCTGGTGACCAGATAAGCCATAGTTCATAAGCAAAGAAGATAGGCTGAACTCTGTTGAGATGAGAAAAGAAGGAAATGTCCAGAAGCACCTGACAATGAGTAGGTGTGAGAAAGGACCCAGATCCCAAGACAAATCCTGTCAAAACCAAGCGACTACTATAACAGAAGGAATTAGGAGAAGAAGGAACCTCACAGAATGGGTTAACAGATATAAAAAGTTAAACAAAAGTCAAGAGAAGGCCCCCTACAATACCAACAAAAAAACAACAAGGACCAATGCTAAGGCAAAAAGCAGAGAATGGGAAGATGCAAAAAAAAAGGACAAATGAGACAGAGAAAACAAAAACAAGATAGATCAAGAGAAACACGTAGGAAAGTGTCTGACACACTGAAAATGGGTGACCACAGACCAGGTGAAAAAGACCATAAATGAGGTCAGAGGGAGAAGAAAGAGAAATTGGAAAAAATGTGAAAAGAGACTCAAATAGAGAAATGGAAAACAACTGTTGGCAGAAAGTGAGACAAACAGCAGGACAAAAAGCACCTGCAGAATCATACAAATGGGAGTTGCTGGCAAGAAGAGTGACAAACAAGATTACTGGTAGAAGTAAAATAAGAAAACGAGAATTATATGGAATCTGGAATGGAAGGTTTGTTTATTTCTTAGCAAAGCCACACAAGGCTACCTGCTGTGTCCACCATGAGGGGGTGAAGGTAAAGTAAGAAGACTGATTTACACGAAGAATAGGAGCAAAGGTTGAGAAAGGGAAAGAAAAACTGGAAATAGAATAAGGAAAGAAGTCGTATATTATCACATCAGATCACGAGGTGGGAAAAAAGATACAAGACATTTGAAGAAGGAAAGGGAGCCAGACAAATAATACATACACAAGACAGAAGGGGTACAGAAAAGAGGAAGGTAATACAACAAGTACCGACAGCAGAGGAACAAAGCAGAATAACTGGAAAAGGCCAAACAGAGAACCATTTATAAAGTGCTTCAACAAAGTTCCTTCTAACAATAATTTTGCTAACGTGCTTCACACAGTATGTACGTAATTTAGAATCTCTTTATATTCTAACCCTTCAGTGATTCTGTCTAAGCCTTTTTTCTATGTAACACGGTTTAAACTGCCTGACGAAGGGCTTATGCCCTAAACGTTGCAAATAATAATAAAGAGTTTGTTATGGATGTGTGTTTTACCGATTGTGAACACTTTTTTCATTATTTTCCACATCTTTGGTCTTTTCTATAGTGTCTTTTTTCTAAACAGAGAAGAGAATGAACATCCTCAGAAGCTATCAAAGCATGAAGAAATGCCACAGATAAAAGTTGCAAGTAGGAGAGGGAATACAGAAGGGTAGAGAGAAAAACATGAAGATAGGGAACTAGAAAGTGACAAAGAAAGAAAAGGTCCCAATCTCCAACTTGGTCAAATAGAAATCAATGAGAGAGAATCAGAAGAAGGAAGAGAAGTAGGTCAACAAATCTTGACAAAAGTGGCCATGAACATAGGAGGGAGGTGCCTGTCACAAGAAAGGAACTATTATAGGAAGGAAACAGTACAACTCCTAATACCATCCAAAGAGAAAAAAGATAAACACAAGAAATGTGGGTCATCAAGTGAGAAAAAAAAAAAGAAAAGAAAAAGAAGACCAGAAGTAAACCAAATGTAACTGAAAATGAAATCCAGTAAGAGATGAAAAGGTTAAGAGCATTTAACAAATGATAGAGTGCTACATAAAGCAAAGTAGGTGAGGGATGTAGTCAACAGATCATCCACAATTGAGGAGAAAGAAACTTGGCTGACAAGGTGCAAGTAGAAGGCCTATTAACCCTCTCCAGACAGGTCATGGGTCAAAGGCCATGTCATCACAATTGTTGACTTGCATTCAAAATTTTATTGAACTACTATTTTATGAATTTACGTCAATAAGTTTGGTATCAAACTGTAGATTACAATTCAACTTTTAGTATTATACATTATTTAAACTCCTAACTTAAAAGTGAATACTAAAAAGAAACAGTTAAATATCGATTTTTGTGTGTCACGTAGTATATTGAATGCAGCACTTGTTCAAATTAGATGTTTGTGAAATCAAAATACTAAGTCTATAGTTTCGTACGAATAAGGAACTTAAATTACCAATATTGACATGCTAGAATATAAAATAAGAATATTTGCTGAAATATTGCTCATGTACTGAATCAAACACAGCGGTCCCACTCACCTATTTCCATTTTTGAAAACGGTCCTTTATATACACTTATTTCAATATATGACATGTGAATAACCAATCGAAAGCTTAGAATGTCCCCCTAATGGCTTTCTCAGCCATTTTAAAGTGTTGGGACACCATCTCGTTTCTTTGAACTAAGATTTCAAGGAGATACGTTGTGTCTTTATTGTGCTCGAAATTTAATATTTTTTTTTTTAGACCCAGCTTAGTTACTAAGTTTGATAAATTATAGTGGATTTCTATGGTATTGATATAGCAATTGATGATTTTTTGGTTATTCAAATGTATATATAAAACCTAAAAAAAATATTTTGTTTCATATCCTCCATGTGTGAAATTTAAAAAAGCCTAGCAACCTACATCAAGCAGCAACCGAGTACAAAGGTCGTAACTAGAAAAGATAATTGTTTGCTTTACTTCTTTATTTACTGTTCTATGTTTTAAGAAAAATAAGTTTAAGAACTTATTTCTAAATAGTAATAATCTATATACATATATAATGTATAATAATCGAAATGTGACTGTATTTTACAAAATACTAGTCTACTAAAACCCCAGCCAAGACAGGTTACTTTGTAAAGACTAAAGGTCAGTTTTATATTATTGTATATGGTAACATGAGTGCACACACGCAGCATCATTGTAACTTCTGTATTGTTAGCCAGTCACAGCTGAAAAGTCAATAAAATAAAAATAATAAATATATATAAATGTATAATGTTACGACATATATGCTATTTAGTCTAAACATTTATGTTTTTGTGTTATAATTTGTTGTCATTCTAGAATAAAAGAGGCATAATTTATAATTATTTCCTATTTTTTATGGTGGTTACAAGATCGGTCAAATATATCGAACCTGTACAGAGATTCTTTAGTGAAAATAACAGATAAAATATAAATTTGTTCTTAAAGAAAGTTTGGTAACTATCTGGACATTATAAAGGTTTTACATGTGAAATTTGAAAATTTTCTGATGCATAAAAATATATTTAATCTTAAAATGAAAATTACTTTGCATGATAGATAGGCAAGATGTGAAAAAAAAAAAAAGCACGAGGGTAACATTGCTTAACATATCTTAAGACTTATTAGAAAAATTTGATATTTTTCGTATGAAAGCATTGTAATGATTACTGATAATCTGCCAAATTCTGTTAACATTCGCTTACTAATTTAAAAGTTATAGCATGAAAACTATAACAAGCACAAAAATGGATACGAGCTTAATCCCAGGGACCAAGACCGAGCTAAAAGAGTTAAGCATGTGATAATCCACAACACACTGAACAATAACTGCTACAATCCTGACAGTTAATGGGCTTCCAAAGCAGAACAGAAACAAGGCTTAAGTGTGAACAACATCCCACACTCAAGACTAATTACAAATCACCATCACTCTAGAAGTCATGAAAAATATTAAAGCTTTTGAAACAAAAGGTAAAGAAAACAAATATAAAGTTTTGTTAACAATGCAAAGGGGAAAATGAGGATTCACG